CAAGATCCATAAAAGAAAGGACAGAAGGATGGCATGACAAGAGGATGAGAAAGGAGTACAACTGAAGGACCAAAAACGACGACCAGAGGGGGGTGAATGGGAGCTGAAAAATTTCTGACGAAATATTTGGCCACTGTACTAATTCACCACCAAACACATGAACCAAGCAATGTGATGTCAATGACCCACAAGAATGAGTGGATGTTCCCCAGGAACACAGCGGGACACCACAAAGCCAACACAAAAGATGGAACTCAAAATGGAGCTCAAACGATCAAGAAGCGAACAACAAGATTTAGCATTGAGGCCCTCCTACCGGCCATGTCTGGTGTGCCTACCAAGCTTGTTGAGAACTAGAACAAACCACATACTCGCAGCTCCTACCGGACATGTCCTGTGAGCCTACCGGACTTGTCCGAGATGCATTGAACAACATAGAGCTACTTCGGGAGAAAAATCGAAAGGCCTACTAAACGGTGACCAAATTACATGAAATTTAAACCACACCCACTAGACACCTTGAGGTAGGTCTCTACCAAATTTTATCTAGAAACTTGAAAGTTTCTCTACTCGAACATGTCTGATATGCACACCGGACATGTCTGGTATGCACGAGCAGACTTATGGAAAAATTGATTTCAAGATCAATACTCAATCAAACCAACTCGGATCGACTTGCAACTTTGCACAAGGATTCACCAGGGAGTATGAAGGATACCTCTAAAGGATCATGGCCTAAGACAAAACAAAACTTCGTGAATCGAAGAAAAGCGGTGCAAGAGCAAGTTTTCTCCCCAAAACGAAATCAGCCCCGATCTATGAGCTTGTGTGGAATTTGAGGATTTCCTTTGGTGAAACACTTCAACACACGTCCTTGCCCATCTAGAAATCAATGGAACAACTCAAAACCCACCAAAATTGATGAATCAAAACAAAACAGGGGAGGTGAGAAACAAGAACACGAAGAACACAAAACAAAAATCAAAAGACACAACTCATGATTTGAATCTCGGAGGACAAGGTGAGGTAAAGGCCTCGCTTCCCACTTAGGTTGGAGTACACAGATTCGATCAGTTCATCTATGGATCACAGCAGTCTAGAGGGAGGAAACCTTTCAAGGAAGAAAGAAAATGCTGACTGAAGTGATAGGGTGGAGTGGAGGCAGCCCCATCTTATTTATAGACCCATTATACAATTCCACTAATGCCCTTAGATATTTTAATCCGAACTCTTTTTTTTGTCGATCGGACAGCCACGCTTCCTGCACATATTTGCTTTGCCTTGATGCAACCTCTATGATTCCGCCACATGCCACCCCATTCCTCCTCGGAACCTCTACCCAGGTTTTGAGGCCCAAACCCAAAAACTATCCACCGGTGGTTTTGAGGCTTAACCCACCAAACCGTCCACCGATGGTTTTGAGGCCCAAACCATCAAACCGCCCATGAGTAGCGTACTTCATACGTGTCCCCTGCAACTCAATGCGTGTCACCTCCATCCGTGACCGCCCACTCGACTTGCATGTCTGCCATCTTGACTTGGTCAACACGATCACTCCTCCAAGTACACTTGCGCTTGTTGATGTCCCCAAGTGTCAGCCACCACGGCTGGTCACCTGGCCTCCTGGTCCCTCAGTCCAAGCCTCATGCTCGTCCTTCACTGCTCCCGGTCCATCGGCACGACATGTCCCTACTTGACCTTCACCTCACCATCGACCACCGCCTCCGAGCTCCACACCTACGCACCACAAGCCAAGAGACATGTTGCACAATGCAACTCATGCCATGGTTAGTTTACAAACTCAACCCAAGACACAAATCACGTTAACAATCACTCATCACAAATTCCGAACCACAAGGGCACATATCAACCTTGTGTTCACAATCTCCCCCTTGATGAGTGCATTGTCAACACCAACACACAAACAGCTAAGAGAAAGAAAAAGAAGAAGAAGAGAAAACAAAGAACACACCCAAATGACCAAAAGCCAAAGAAAAGCCAAAACTGGGTCATTTGAAATGAGCAAAACTTGGTCCCCAAAGACATGGGTAATGACTCGACGCAACCAAGTAAAACATAGCTAGCCCTCAAGAAGAAGCAACGAGCTCAACACCACTAGCAAAGTTCAAAACACCTAAAAACAGCAAGACCCTCCAAAAGAGGCAAAGGCTCAACACATCTAGCAAAAGCAACTCAAATGCAACTCCCCCTGAACAAATACAATCTCCCAAATGAATGCATGCACTCAACAAGATGAATGTATAAACTCTCCCCTTGGAGTTGTGTGATCTTTCTCTCCCCCTTGTTGACACATGCACACATCAAGCCCTGAAAAACTACCACTCCCCCTCAAAATATGTTATGAATGCAAGGGATGCAGAAATGCAAAAACTTCAGGAGTATAGCAATCAGATTGAAAAGATGCTCTAACTGATGTTGTTATGTGTGTGTAGCAACAAATACAAGTGCTAGCAAATGCTCAAACTAATCAAGTGAGACAAAATATGACACTTAAGCAATTTTGATCAAGTTTAAGCAATTCAAGAAGGGGTTCACCACTAATAGTAGCACATAGCAGGTATAAGCAGGAAATTAACCTAGTGCTAACAAGTGTATACAAGGTGAACTACCCCAAGCAGCAGTCACACATCATGTCAAAGATGAACCTAAGACTTGTGTTTTCATCAAATTTTAAATTTTATCAGAGTTTGTAGCTTAACACAAGATTTAGTCAAAACATCTGTGTACGAGAGGTTATCTGTACCGTTAGGCCAAACTTAGCAACCATTCCAAGCCTATGTTGTAGACAATCAGAAGCTTAAGACAATGGTTTTGGCATCCACTACAAGACTCAACTTCATCCAAATGTGCAATTGGAAGCCATCTCTATACCTTGACATAGGACAGTACAGACCCATCTTGATCTTTTCTCATCACTTAGCTTGTTTTCCAAATTTTAGCACAAAAATCTTCAAGTTGTCCAAGCAAGTGAGTAACTCAAAGCATGAGACATAGCAACCTAGCATATAACTGATAGCATCAGGGATGTCAACAAGTCCTACACATGCTAGTGCCAATCCCAACAGTGAACAAATTTCAAGTTTCAATAGTTGTTAATCATGTTCACAATTTAAAACTAGCTTATCTCATAACATGCATCAATTGATCAAAAGGAGCCTAAGCCATAAGCACCGTCATGTACAAACAAAACATCCCAAATAGAGCATAATTTCAATCTAACTGTTATTATCATGAAGCTCAAAATGCTCTAATATACATGATGAAATGCAATGCAATATGATATAGAAAACCAGAAAATAAAAGCTAAGCTACAAAGAAAACAAAACTACTATACAACACAAATGTTCCCCTCCTCTAAAAAGCGAAACAGACCCCAAGCTCCCCTTGCAAACATGCAAACTAGGTTTGGTCAAGGGGTTTTGTGAAGATATCTATGAGCTGGTTTTGGGTGTCAATATGGCGCAGGTCAATACCCCCTTTCTCATAGTGGTCTCGCAATAAGTGAAAATGCACCTCTATATGTTTGGTTTTTGAGTGGAGAACATGATTCTTAGCTACGCTTATGGCACTGGTGTTGTCACAAAGCAAAGGCACTCACCCAAACTCTAAGCCATAGTCTCTTAGGGTAGCTATCATCTAAAGCAGCTGGGAGCAGCAAGCAGCGACAGCGACATATTCAAGTTTTGTGGTGGATTGGGCAATGCTGGACTGCTTACGAGAAGACCAAGACATAAGTGAAGACCTAATAAATTGACAAGTCCCCGATGTGGACTTTCTCTCAATGCAACAATCAACATAATCCTCATCAGAATACCTGCAAAGAGAAAGAGAGGAGGAGGCTAAAAACCAAAGACCAAACTCAGGTGTGAAACGAAGGTACCTCATGATCCGCTTGATGGCTTGATGATGAGACGTATGTGGGGAAGACTAAAAGCGCGCACATAGACAGACCATGAACTGGATGTCCAGTCTCATCACCATCAAGTACAACAATGATCCAATCATGCTGTGGTACTCCTTCTGGTCCACGGCTTCTCCTTCCTCATCAGCATCTAGGGCCATCATGGTTGACATGGGCATCGAAAGAGGCTTGGCCTCTCCCATATCGAACTTCTTCAGCAGGTCCTTAGTGTACTTGCCTTGGTGCACGAACGTTCCTTCTTGAGTTTGCTTGATTTGTAACCCAAGGAAGAAAGTCAATTCTCCCATCATGCTCATCATATCTGAAAACTTGGCAACAAGAGCATGAGAAGAGCCACCGAACATTATATCATCCACGTATATCTGAACCAAGAGAGTGTCAATGCCTTGCTTGAGGAGAAACAAAGTTTTATCAACAAAACCCATCTTAAAACCCTTATCAAGCAAGAAAGCTTTCAAACACTCATACCAAGCTCTCGGGGCTTGCTTCAGGCCATACAAGGCTTTGTGGAGTTAAAAACATGGTTAGGAAACTTAGGATTTTCAAAGCCAGGGGGTTGCCTAACATAAACCTCTTCCTCTATATACCCATTCAAGAAAGCACTCTTCATATCCATCTGATACAGCTTGAACCCTTTTGAAGCTGCAAAGGCTAAAAGATTCCTAATGGCTTCTAAACAGGCAATAGGAGCAAAGGTTTCCTCATAGTATATACCCTCTTTCTGGCAAAACCCCTGAGCTACTGACCTGGCCTTGTTTCTCACTACCACTCTGTCCTCACTCTGTTTGTTCTTGAAAACCCACTTTGTACCAATGGGGTGGCAATCTGGTGGAGGTGGCACTAAAACCCACACTTGGTTTCGCTCGAAGTTCTCTAACTCCTCATGCATGGCATTAACCCAATCAGAATTAGATAGAGCATGTCCAACATCTCGAGGCTCACAATAAGCATTGAAAGCAGAGTGAGCGAAGTGTGAGATGTGATATGACTTGGACCGCGTGACTCGTTGGTCGATGTCACTGATTATGGTCTGAGGTGGGTGGTGATGCTGAATGTGTCATGGTGCCTCCCTTAAAGAAGTTGCCTCCCCCTCAACAACAACTAGGGCCTCCTTAGGTGTAGCCAGCGTAGGCTGAGGAGGCTGCTCGAGCGGACCCAAAGTAGTGGAAGAAGAGGAATCAGGGCTGTGAGCTAAAGTAGACATCGTAGGCTCGAGAGGGGCAGTCGGTGGAGTTAGCTCGGGATCACCCCAATTGGCATCTTCCTGCTCCTCCTCCACAAAGATGCTCTCACCAATCTCCTGATCACCTGCACAATCAAAGATAGGAGTGGAACATGGCATGGTTTCATTGAATGTGACCTCACAGGTCTCCACAACTCAGTTAGTTTCAAGGTTAAGAACACGATATGCATGAGAGTGAGAAGCATAACTAAGAAAAATACTATCGAAAGACCTAGACTCAAACTTGTCCAAATTACCTTGTTTTAGGATGAAGCACTTGCACCCAAACACCCTAAAGTGACTTACCTTGGGTGGTTGTCCGAATCGCAACTCATAAGAAGTCTTCTTTCATGAAAGCTCAAAGGAAAATGCGATTGGAAACATGGCACGCGGTGTTGATCGCTTTGGCCCAATATCTCCTAGGAGTCCTATGCTCATCAAGCATCATCCTAGCCTTCTCAAAAAGGGTCCGATTCTTGTGTTCAACAACACCATTTTGCTGCGGGACATACGGAGAGGAAAACTGATGCTCGAGGCCCAAAGAAGCACAAAAGGTTTCAAAATGAGTATTCTTGAATTCTGTGCCATTGTCATTGTGAATCGCTCTCATGGCATTCTTAGGAAACTCATTTTGCAACCGAAGAATCAAATCCTGAGCATGTGAAAAGCCTCACCCTTACTCTCCACGAAAAACACCCAAGAGTAGCGACAAAAGTCATCCACGATCACTAGAACGTACCACTTCCCACCATCTGACCGAACCCAAGCTAGACCAACTATGTCTAAGTGAAGTAGCTCGCTGGGTTCCTTGGTCATGACTTGATTCACATGTGGGTGAGAAGCGACAACCATCTTCCCATGATGACAAGGGTGGCAAACCAATTCCTTCTCAAATTTCAACTTGGGCAATCCACGGATTAGATCAAGTGAGCTCAACCTAGATAGTAAGGCAAAGCTCAAGCGACCAAGTCTCCTAGGCCACTTCCATAGCTCAGAGGAGGATCTGGCCACCAAACATCGAGAGGAGCCAAAGGAATGAGAGAAATTAGCTCGAAAGACACGACCAAAAGGGACAATCTGGCAAACAAGATTTCCCTGAGAATCAAGGACTCAAGACAAGCCGGTCTTAAAGCGCACTTCAAAGCCATCCTAAAGGAGCTGCGAAACTAAAAGCAAATTGAAATGCAAATTTGAAACCAAAGCAACATCCTTCAAGACAAAACTCTCGTTGACCCAAATAGTCCCATGAGAAAACACCTTACCTTTGCTATTGTCCTGAATGTGATGTACTCCATACATTGCACGGGGTCGAGGCTGGAGAACCATTTTGAACTTTCAGTCAAGTGGTGCGAACAGCCAGAATCAATGAGCCACATGTTCTCCAGGCCTCTCGTCCTGCATCAATTGAGAGGCATGGGATGAGCAAATGGCGCAACAATAGGTTAGTAAATTGTGAAGGATACCAGTGTTGGCTCATTTGCCCTAGAAAAGTGTTAGGAAAAACACCAAACATGCCATATCCCATTTGAGGGAAGTGAACACCACGTAGGGGAAAACGTGGTCTGCTAGAGCTATGGGACTGAAAACAAAAGCCACCACCATGGGGTTCAAAGTCATATTGACCATGACCTAAACCTCACCGGGCATGACCACCGCATGGTCTCGCAACTGGAGGCCTAGCTCCTTGAGGCACTGCACCTCTAGGCCTAGCACTACGCCTCTGAATAGGTAGTACATGTATGCCATGGGGCAGGGCGGTACATGTTCCGGTTGTTCAACTCATACTCTCGTCGTTCATCTCTCTTCTTCCTAAAGCAGAACTCAACAAGGTGACCCTATGGCAATAGTCACAGTGATACCTCACCGTTCTCTTGGGTGGTTGTTGGCTCACTCTCTTATGGGTATGGTTCACTCTTGGTGGCTGTCTAGCTTTAGGAAGGGGATCCTCATAGATGTTTGGTAGAGTGTCAAGTGGGTTCTTGAGATGGATAGGTTTTGGAACTCAAACTTGTTTCTAGGGTGGAGCTTTTGGAGGTTCTTCAAACACTCCATGTTTGACAATGGGCTCAGTGGCCTTAGGTGGAGTGATTTTGATCAACTTGGGAGTAGTGGAAGGTTTCTCACTTGGGTTCAAGCCTCTGAACTCACCAACCTTGCCATAGATACTTTCACCCTTCCCACCTAAAGCAAAGCCTACACCCGATGCACTAGTTCCCCACCTGAACTAGCTCATCATCATGCCCAACTACGGCTCACTGTAGGACACCCAGCTCAAGATGGATCGAAGGTATGTGTTGTCTACCTCGGTTCTCATCTTGTTGTGTCTACAGGACTCAAGCTCTAGCACCAAGATCTCACAACGTGCACACTTAGCCGCAGTTCTATCTGAACTGGCCTTCTCAAGCAAAGAGATCCTAGGAACCTTCTCTGCTAGTTTAGATTGCAAGCCCGAGTAGGACTTGCACGCACCCACCAAGCCAGACCTAGACTTGAACTCATCATTCTCATCAAGCAAAGCAAAATACTTGGATTGCAAATCGGTAAGGTTGGACATGTGAACAGCATATTCATCACACTCAACCTCGTCATACACTACTACAGCGTGCTTCTTAGCTTCTTCAAGCTCCTTCAACGTAATTTCTAGCTTGTCCTTAAACTCTTCCCTCTCACGGGCAGCATGCTTCAGTAGCTTATCTTGGCTAAACAAGGTGTCATTCATCATATCAAGCTTAGCAACAAGATAGTAGACAGATGGTGTCACCTCAGTAGTGTCGTCATCCACGGGAACCACGTCCTTGCTAGCCTTCACCTTGGCATCGTCCACCATGGTGCAAAAGCCTCTATGGGTGGAACCAGCGACAAAGCAGAGCCCGGCCAGCTTGTCCTCTATTGATATTTATTAATGCACATAGATAAATCTGCAAGCGCACGAATACCACTATAGCTTTCACCTGAAAGTTTTTCAAGTATCATATCCATAGGGAAACATGTGAGACTAACTACAGTCTAACTTAACTAAGGGTATCAACAAGGTTAGGATAAACAGGAGTGTAGAGAGGATAACTAAGGTTCTCTTGTTTTGACTTCGGTAAGCTATGTCTTCTACAATTTAACTAGGGACATTACTAAGGGAAAGACACCAGTAGTAATCAGGTCCTACATGGCCTACAAACGGGAGGTGGACTATAGAGGACTCAATGAAAGTGTCACACTTGCATTCTAATGCAACTTCATGATCTACCACCGGTCCGGAATGCAGGGTGCATCCATGATTAACACAAGTATAAGCACCACGCTTACACTTATGATTAATACTTTACTCCCCCTAGGAAGAGAATAAGGCACTCAAAAGAGTCATGATCCTGATGAATAATATAAACAAGATGATTACTTGACTTAGAAGTTGATTACCAGAGAAATCTCAGAGGCAAGCTCAGATACAACTTAGATCCGCCAAGGTACAAGCCGTAGAGAGAGCACCAACAAGCCGGCACCTCCTCCGAACTCTTCCTCACTCTCTATCTCACTATTTCTATTTATAAGACTAGATCATATGGAGGACTAATCTTCTCTTGATTGTTGGCTTTGATCCTAAAGATATTAATTAGGGTTTCAAGGATGGCTCTCTAGAGGGGGTATAGGGCCGTATATATAGGGGGTAGCGTCAATTCTGTACCCTCGAATCAAACTGACTTAAAAGGATGACATAGATACAATCTGGGATGTGGTGGAGAACCGACATTCAAAGCAAAGACTAACGGGAAGGGCCCATAGGCTAACTGGCCTGCAGGTGGGGCTAGCTGGCCGCACCTGGAAGCCTCTCACTGTCTTCTTTGGTGTGGTGTCCTCTGGAACCTTCTAGAGTTGTTTACGTTGCGGTTAAGCATGATTAAGTCTGTTGTTTGGGTCCACCTTGATGGTTTTCTCGATAAACCCTACTGAAAACACAGATTCACCAAAACTTGTGGAATTTGTCAGTTTAAACCCTTATACCTATGTTTGGTGATGGAATTAAGCATATATGCAGGTTATGTTGATGGTTTATAATTGGTGTTAGTGACCATCAACAAGATCCCCCAAGCTTACCCTTTGCCAGTCCCTGAGCAAAGTTAAACTTAAACAATGGATTAGGAGTTGCTACAATGCTTTCATGCCTCAAAAGTACCCATGCGTTTGATAAAAAATTCTTCTCCAGATTAGAATAAACTGATCTAACTTTCAAACTCACCCATATTACCTTCAAATATGGGACTTCTTAGCTATCACTTGGGTCTTGAGCAATTGAAAGACAGAATGATCAAGTCAAGCACTATGTTGCAAGTTCTTTGTTCCACCATTGTTCTAGAGTTTTTATAAGTTTTCAAAATAAAACTCAGAGATTCCATTGTATGACACTCTCAAGTCTCTCAATATATGTGGTATTTGTAGATCCTCACCAAGGAAATAAAGATGTTGTGCCTTTTCTCTTCCAACCACTAAGGCTTATGTGGAGTACATAGGTTGCAATGCATATATTGTAAAGTCAAACGATGGATCCAAAGAGCGCTGAGTCATACAATCAAATCAAGATGTGTATGTGTGTGGATTATAAGACCCTAGTGTTAAGCTTTGCATTTGGTACCTGCATTTCATGAGCACAAGCATCATCCAAGCATTCATGACCGTGAGCATATGAAATTTCATCTCATTCTTATACCTTATCACATGAAATGTTGATTTTATATATATGCTTATGCTTGCAATCATGTATGACCAATGTATGAAATGGTTGTAAGGTCACCAATATACCTTAGACACATCTAGAATGGTGAATGGAACAACTTTTGTATTCATGACATGGACCAATTTTGCTTCTAAGTGTTGGTGTACTTTGAAATGTCAATTTCATGATGCTAGTTTGACCAAAGTGGAACAGTACCTTATAGTGTTTGCATGGCTATGTGACCTAAATAAAAGTTATAGTTCACATCAAGGGTAACAAACTTTGTTTAAGGGTCCTGAGCTGAATCAGTGTCTAACTTAGTCAAATAGGGCTCACAAAAATCAACAAAATGCTGTTTTGAAACATAGAAATTTTTGCTAAGTC